CATAGTTGCATATCTTTTTGAATGTATGATTAGTCCGAAGAACAAAATATAGCTGACTTTGACTATACACAGTACTCAGAAGCATAAGTTTATTAACTAGAATACATCTATTATTGTATTAGCTTAGAAATAGGATCTGGATAGACCTTAATAAGTTTTACAATGAATATGGTTGAAGTATGCTTTTTAGTAAGAATAGTTTTTTTAATTAAAATTTAGTCTGATCAATTCAGTATAAGAGTTTAACACTGAAACTGTACAAGCCCATACCTTTATAATACCATCGATCGATTTTATCAAGCTTAAAATACATACAGTCTAATGAACGCAAACAAAATAATATTTTCGGGCAGAGTTTTGAAGATTTGTGTTTTTACACATTTGAAATCATCAATCAATCATTCATTGTTAGACCACCATTAGAAACCTGGAAGTACTGGACGACCGTTTCTTCCTGGTATGGGACTCATCAGCAGTGCGCATCCACGACTCCTGCACCTCACAGGATCCGAACACGGTACCTTCGGTATTGTGCGCGAACGCCTAACCATCGGAGCACCGGATCGACATCCAACGGTGTTAATGTCTAACTCTGATTGATCTACGGATTTCGCGCAACCTAATATTTCGGTTTATATATGTTGTAATTTATAATAAAAGTCAGAATAAATCAACATGATTAATTTTATTCAATTTTTTTCTCTCACTGTTTTTTTAATTATCTTCATCATGAATGCTACACCCAAAATATTGATATCTGCAGGATTTCTTGATTTCTTAATTAATTTCATTTTCACTGATATTTACCGGTTACAAGTGATAGCAATTTATGTCTAGTCATATTTTACAGTCAGTTGAAATAATTAGAAAACCAGTCAGTATATAAATTACTTGTCAAAAATGTTTCTAACAGATAAAGGTTGTCTGACTTCATTAGGTTTCGTACTTTTTTCCCAATTCATACTTAACCGTTTTCAATGGCATTAGGAATTTTCAGTTATGACTATCGCATATTAGTGTGTTATATTTTGAGGGGTATTTTTTGGCATGAAAATTCGTCTTGATTGCTTGTGAATGTTATTTAAGCGTGATAGGATGAATGCATTATTTATCGATGGCCTGAGTGAACCAATCGGATTTAAATTAACTCCTCACATATTTAAGGTACAGTGTATTAACAAAATAGAAATCGGCAATATATGATCTTTCGAATGTTTGAAATTAATAGAAATTTCTGTTATGAAACTGAATAGTGAATTTACGAAGGGAATTAATCATAACTGCTCTCAAGGCAAACCGTATGACAAAGTACTTGTTAAGAGTCAATTAGTTAACAGTAGTGTTTAATGAAGATAGAAAATATCTTTGGCTTCTAACTCCTATTCCTCATCTCAACTATAAGTCTCTTAAGTTTGTAAATGGTGTAATGACAAAGCAGTTCCTCAAAGCTGATGTCATTTCCTGGTGAAAACCCTAACCCTAGTATAAAAAACCAAACTCAGAATACAAACATTTAAAACTTAACCTTAGTCTTTTGGTATCATAGCTGGTCTTAGTCGGTGATGAAACCTCTGTGGAGTGATAACCTTGACTGATGATACTAACCCAAATTTTAAAGGTGAACTTCGCCTTTTCCTTCCACGACAAGGAATAATTCGACATGTGAGGATCGATGAAGTTATTGAAACTAAACTGAGTAGTCGTATTTAAAACTAAGTAATAACATCATCATTCAAGCTTTTTAAAGCAATGTATTTGGATAACAACGCAATAACTGATGCAAATCATCCGAACATTTACCCATACTTCACAGTGAGAATCATTTTAATCGCATGCAACTGAAGAAACTACATTCTGTCGCAAATAGTTTGACGACACATTTCTTATATCCAACAATCAAAAACACTCTATGTACAGACTCAATCTGCTTAACAAAGCACACAATGACATAGATTTCATTGTCGAACATGAAGTGAAAGGTAAATTCTTAGATGTTGGAATCAAATGAAAATCGGGTGAAAAACCACAAAGGCACATCTATTGGAAAAACACATGGACTGGAGTCTATTGAAATTACAACAGCTTCTGTCAAATCAAGCACAAAAAGGGGATTGTGCATACGATTTCTCACCGTTGTCAAGAAATTTTCTCGAAGATGAAATCACTTTCACTAAAATCTGTCTACATGAAAAGACATACCCACTGAAATTCATCGAGAAGTATTCCAGACCCCACTCACGCGTCGAATATGATAAAATGGAAAAGAAAACCAAATACATTTATCAACACTTCGATGGGAATGAAATTACTGGAAGTATTCACCAAATTGTTGAAGAGTGATATCCATTGACACGACCTCTGACTCTGTTTGAAACGATATGATTGCTCAAATTAACAGAAATAGACAAGTCCTCTTCTCTCAGAACCTAAATTCGCATTTGTCAATTTACATGTACGTGCCGAACACACTTGTCAGAGGGACTGAGAGAAGAGTACATGTTCGAGAATGCGAGCAAATTTAAAGGAATTTGGGATCGAGTGGTTCAAGGACTCTAAATGGTGCAATAGCCCGTTATTTGACTGATACTGGACGCCTCCTTGACATTTATCAACCCTTCAAAATGATTAACAGACTGAGAAACCCAAGTTCCTTTGTTAAATTAATTCTCACATTTATGTACACTCTGATAATCCTACATTCATTTATTTATTCATCTCTCTAAATTTATGTAAACCTCTTCAAATATCGATTTTTAATAATACTGACAATTATGACTTTATTTCATATCAAATGTTTAGTAAATTACAGAATTCTCAACATGGAATATTTCAACAAGTTTCCTTTGCTAAACTCAACAAAATAAAAAACTAATAACTGGATACATTGAAAAAATTATCTAAACCCACATCTGGAATTAAAATGAAATGTTCTTTCTGATTCGAAGAGAATTGATACAATTTTTTAATTAGGAACATGTTTAGAAATATAAGTTTTGACTAGGTCAGTTCATACCACATGTTCACCGCTTAGTATGCTTTTTAACTAGGGTATCGTTGAGATTTTATACTTTCTCTTGCATGCCTGGATTCTTGTTCAGCTAGAAGATGTAAACGGAGTGGATGGTTAGTATAAAATAAGATAACACTTGCCATAGGTTTCCAAACTTTTAAATGTCCTTGCACTATCATGTTCATAAGTACTTAAAAACATTCACCAAGAACTCTGCCAACCACCTCCAGCATTCTTTGCAACACGGCGAAATCTTTATTCAAATGCTCGGGAAAGAATAATAAGGAACAGCAAAAGGATAATAGGTAATATGTAATGGGCCACAAAGTGTTAAATTAAGTATTGAACAGCAGTTAGGGTATTTCTTTTACATTTGCATGCAAAATGATAAGGATCAGTATACTTTTTTAATACAGGTTGAAGTCTGAGTTGCGAAAGTTTTTCTATTGTGTTAAGAAAAGGTCAAGTAATTGCTAAGGTTCTAAATTTTACATTCTTCTCATCAGATACTTACTCAAGAATTGAAATTATCTTTAACATTTTCTGCATTTTGGTTTAAAACTTTTTAAGAAGGATTCATCAAAGATTTTCGTGAATAGACGACATACAATATCAGCAGACTTAATAAAAAGGTTTGAGATTTGATCAGTTTCTGAACATTGGGATGAATTAAGTGACTAGAGATATTTTTGGAAATCACTCACAGTTAAAACTGGAAGCATGACAACAGATGATTGACACACCAAAGATTTAATTATTTCACAACTATTCAGCTGGACCTCATCATTAATGCATCTCTCACCTGTAAGCGCTTTAAATAGTCTACATATATTTAAAGTTTTTTTTACAAGATAAGAGTTTCTGAATGAACAATGAATTCAGACATATAATTTCTTAGCTTATAACGCCATTTAACTTCCGAACTTCAATAGAGTCATCTTCATTATACATTTTCCGTTAGTAGTTGTTTTAGTTACGGAGATGTAAGTCGGTCAAACTTTAGAAAAGTAGTTTCAATGGGATCACAAACATTAAAGCAGAATTTGAGGTAACAAGTGACAACACCGACTGTGTTTTCTAAGGAGTTGTTTATTGATGAATCATAGTCTGTCGTATGAAACATATTTCATTTGAGTCACTCGTGCATATAATTTTCTTTGTTTGGTATAAGAGTGTACTCATTCCAAGTATACTATATATTTTGAGTAGAATACGAATAATACATTGATTGAAATAAGGTAATGGACCAATTTAACAAGTTACCTATGTTCTCATGTCATTAGCGATTCAGGCCTCGACATTTGATTTACGTTCATTCAGGTAGTAAACGTTATATATACACGCCTGAATAGGTTATGTGAATAACAGATACAATTAATGTGTTAAAACAACTGAAAAGAGGTAACTTGTTAAAATATTTTGATGTAAGGAAAACACACGGCCCAAACATTAAAGCGGGCCGCTCTGACGTATTACATATTGGTTAAATTGCAAATTATAGACAGTTACCTCTTTATTGCTCGAAACATTCAAGTGATCGAAACCTGATATACACGAAATAACTTCTGTAATTATGGCACAATCTATCTTATCTGTTTTATTAGCTTCATCGAATTACCGTCTCACTCCCTTCTTAAGTTTTTTTAACTCCATCTTAAGAATGACCTCACTCCTAGTCATGTATATCTAGTTAATAGCATTAATCTTTGCTACTTCAATTCCTTCTGTCATCAGTGTATATTGCTTCATATTCAGACAAAACTCAGTGTTGCACTTTATGATACATAATGGTTGTTAGTAATTGATGAGAAACCACGAAATATGATGGATTCTCCTTCAACATTTGTTCTGACTCTATCTATTTTGTCATACACTTTAGTTACTTTCAAACGGATAACTAAATCCCTTTTAGTTAGAATGTAGTAAATACAAACATAATTTAAATCACTACATTTTAACCGTTTTCTGTTTAATTCACTTTATGCTTTAGCTGATTCAATTATCACTCAAGATGTTGAGGAAGGAATTTTGGTTCGAATTCTGTGCAATGTAAGTAGTGATGAGAAACTCGACAGTGCTGGTCCATTTCGATATGAATGGCGTAATCCAAATGGTACATTAGTTGGAACTCAATGGAAATTAGAATTGGGCCATATCAAAGTACATGAATCGGGGATATATGTCTGTCGTGTTTCATATGAATTTGACAAAAGACAAATGTCTACAAGTTCAGCTACCAAAATAAATGTTATTCCACGTAAGACTTTTTCATTATCTCTCTTTCTTATGTGTTTCAATGTAGTGACATTGATTTTGCATTCAGATTTCGTCACTTTAACTTTCACTAATCTTAAAATGCCATTATAAAGATAAAATCCATAACAAGCGAGTTTGGTTTATTGGTCTAAAACTTTATTTAGCTACAGCGTCTGAGCTAATTATGCATATCCTTATTTCAACAATAAAGTAATTTTTCACACACCAATTTTGGTTCAGAGCACAGATGGACTATTTGTAATCCAAAAAACCAAAAACTTTCCACATTTAAAGCGCATATTTCAGAGACTATAGTTTTAATAACCTTTTTGACTACATTAAAACTTAGTCATGTTCTTTTATGAAAAAAACAGGGACTAGTTTTGAACTTACCCCCAATAAATATATGGGTAGTACATATCCTCTAAAATGTCAGATTTATGCTATTCTAAACGTAAACTGTAGTGCTTGGTAAAATCTATGATGAATTAACTGTGTATTGTATTATAGAGAGTATTACGTGCTAATAGACCCATAAAACTTGACGATTATAATCAAATAAGACGTTTTATTCACAGTAAAGTACTTCATATACACACTAACTGATCTAAGTACATATATTCGATGTTTTTATGGTGAAGAACTTGAGTTTGGTGGCGGTAACTGTTTTTCATGAGGACTTAGAGAAATAATAATATGCGATAAGATGACCCCGAAAATTCTTATTCCTTGTATTTTGATAGTAACCTAAACAACAACAATTTCTGTTGGGTTTCATGAATTATATGAGTTTAAATCATCGATTGCTAACACAGTTCAACTGTGTCGGGCAATCACAGTCACCCACCAATGACAATCATATAAGGTCATGTAAAGTCATGGGTTGGTTTAGGTTAGACTAGATCTATCGATTAGGCATTCACTATCGAAATCGGAAGTCCTAGGTTCGATTTCTCATTTCTAGGTCATGCATGTACACTGCTGACAAGGTCCATACTAGGACAAACCAATTTCTTACTGCTTCTAAATTTCATTAACTATCTAACATACATCGAGTTGTGATCTCAGTAAAATGAAATCATTTTCTGATTCTACATATCATTATCTGTCTGAACTAATGATAGTTTTTACGGCAGCTTAACAATTATGTTGATGAAATTTATTGTCGAGTTAGAACAAAATCTCTCAAAATTATTATAATGTGTAGTATTGTGATTATTATTGTTACGATTATTACTGGTTTAATTAAACTATAAATAATGGACAAGTCAAATAATGTCATAACCGGCTGAACGAAATAAGGAAGGAAAATTGACGAATTCATTTTTCATATATGTGAATCGATCAATGAAACTGATAGTTAGGTAACCGTATTGATCAATTAGCACACCATTTATTACAAGCTGTAACGGTAGTTATATCTTGTTTCTGTAAACACAACTTTATCGCTCATAAATTTATTACAAAAAGGTCAAATATTTCATTACAAGAACTAATATTCACAAAACAATCCAACCAATATATGATGAGAGGTTTGATTGAGTGCCAAACCGATTAATGACTGAAATGTATATAATACCTTAAAAATGTGTCCGGTAAATTCTAAACAGTTTGTACGGAAAATTAACCTGGTGATCAGTTATACCTTATGATTAAAAATGAATATGCCTTATAGTGAAGAGCAATCATTAAAGAAAGTCATTAATCAATGAACATCTATTTTATTTCAGTGATTTAATTTAAAAATGTAAAACATACTAATTTGTGTATGATATAAGATGGATTATCAGAGATCAGTGATTATCAACAAAATACATATAAAGTAAAATCAAGCTCATTTCTCGCATTTAACGTTTCACACTGAATAACTGAATATGTGATAAGATTCATAATCGTATATCAGAATAAAAGCCGTTTGTATTGTCAAAACTGTTGAAATTATTACACTCTACTTTCATCTTGAATAATTTTTAGTTATAGAATAGGATCATCGAGTAACAGCGATGCTGGTGTTAGGACAAAGGTTGATGATGTAGTGAATGTTTATCAGTTGAGGTGGTTAGGGCATGTTACGTATACCTCGATTAGCGATGTTTTGTGATTTAGGAGTAGGGCAAAATAAAGCGAGGAGTGGTAAAATCAAAACATGACAAAGATCTATGAAGTCACTGACAACTAAACTGAACCGTGTTAGTACGTGTACACTTTTCCTGGTTGCGTTCCGCTGCAGAGTAATCAATAGCTTGAGACTTTGAATGAAATGCCTCAAAATCTCTGGCAATGGGGCAAGTATATCCATTGTTTGTCTTCTCTCGAATTCTATACTTCTGAATTCCTAGTGACCGTTTTTTCTATTTTTGCATTTATTTCACTGGAATATACTTCTCGAATTATCTCTTCTATCTCTAATCTTCTTCATTACCACAAATTCTTCGCAACATTTACTACTATGGCATTTGAATTGACAATCCCATCTGTTTGTTCTAATATAGTATGACAACTTAAACTGATGTACCTACGTACCAAGATGTAAACTGATGCTGACTGATTGAATTATTAGTTAGTTAGAAAGTTAAAACTCGAAACCTATTGGCAACTGTTAATCTATCATTCGATATTTACTAAATTTATTCAAATGAGTATGAATACAATTTTTTTAAAAAACAAAAACATTTCTCGTATGGACATTTGTACACATAATCAATGCTTGTATATTTTTCAATGGATGCACACTGCTGATGAGTCCCATACCAGGAAGAAACGGTCGTCCAATTCTTCCACGTTTCTAATACTGGCCTAACAATGACTGATTGATGATTTCAAATGTGTAAAAACACTAATCTCCATAATTCTAATTGAAAATACATTTTTTAAGCTTAGTTTTCAATATGATATAGTCTAATAGAATTAGGCTTTAATTAGGATTTAATTAATACAGAGTTAGATAAATGTTTACGTTAAAAGGATAATACTAACTTAGATTCTATCATATATGTACCACTTACTGTTGGGGTTGTTAGATCCCCAGAACTCACTTGATAAATATCTTTATTTTGGATTGATCTCATGGACCGATCGGTTGACCTTGAGGTTACATTTCTCACCAGGAAAATCCTTGGCTCTGATTGGTTACTGTGTCATTTTAGTGTGCTATTTTTGTGACTGTCCCGAGGACGTCTCTATAGAGTATAAATAAACGCAAGTTGAGTGCTTGGATTCATTGTGTGCTGGCTGGGTGTTGTAGCATAAAATTTCTACACTATATCAAGACTTCTCACCGATACCTTTTGGTCAAGGGATCACAGTAGCCAACCTGGACGCTGGTTCATTGTTTTGTTCTCGTTATTTGACTAAGGTGAACTCGTAATAGTTGAAACATACCTAGAGACGAGCGTAACACTTATATAGTATCAAATTACTTTTTTTCCAGTATTTCCTCAGAATTAAGTCTTCAGTATAAGGATAAATTACTCAAAAATGATTCAGTAGTTAATGATGTATACTTTGAGGTTATTGTTCATTCATGCAACAGACTATTCGGCTAATGAACTTTAAGTTAACTAAATGATTTACATGAATGTTAATTGTCAGTATTATTTACTAATCAAATGAAAAACTTTAAAAATATAAAGATATTTAGAATTATCTTATAACTAATTATCAACTGGTTTAAATTCTAATCAACTACAATGTTGTTAGACTGTGCTAAATGGTCATTAAAAACGTGTTATGAGCAACCAATTGATAGTATTTACAGTGGTCATATGTTTTCCACAATATCAATAGTATTCTGAAGTAAACCATATTTTTTTTGTAAGTATCTTAAGCCATTCTGTTCGTATAACACATCGAAATATTAGTGTATAATAATCTGAAATTTTCGGTATCACTTTTTTTTCGAATAGGCGCTGGTGTAATATTTCCAGGAATTCGTGGCAACGTATTGGAAGTTTTAGAAACAGGTGATATTTTACAAGAATGTCAAGTGGTTAGTGCCAAACCATCTCAGTATAACTTTCAATGGTTTGGTCCAGATGGCCGATTAGTATCGAATTCTGCATTTCTTCAAAGAGATTATATAACAAGAGAACGAGATGAAGGTATTTATCGATGTGTGGCCACTCCAATTGAAGAAGGAAGATTACAAGTTGAGAATAGCTTAATTGTAACAACAGCACGTAAGATAGTTGATAGTTTTTAATTTATTTATGCATATTTTCTTCAAATTGGTACAACTATATTTTATGAAACACGAAAATACCTTGTAATTCTTGAAGAAAAAAGCAAGTTTACTAACTTTTAAGTAAACCAGATTCGACTGTAATTATTTATTTGGGGCTAAATGTATTGGCAAATTTACCGCTGGATAAGAAGATGAGCGAAGATCCGAAAAAAAGGCAGTGAGAGTCCTGTAGTTCTTCAGTAAAATTCCATTGAATGTTATTAACAAAATTTCTAAATAAAATAAAAGCTTTTATTCAGAAATGAAAATAACGATCGGTAAAATAGGGCAACTGCAATGAATTGCAAAACGCTACTGAATGAAAATATTCTGTGTTTAATTGTGGTGATTTGCGTTGATATTTTATTCTTAAATGAAGTGGCTTCCTAATGCTTTCTAGATTTTAGTGAATTTCTTTAATGTTACGTACTGAGAAACTAAGTTCTAGTTTGTTGCTATAATAAAACCATTAGTTAAAGTTCAGAAAGATATTTTGTAGTGCTTTACTTAATTATTTATTGGATTGTGATTTATTTTATCCGTAACTTATCATAAATTTTAATTAGCGTACGTTTTCGGTGGATAGTTTCAAGATCACGATTGAATTTCAGTCGAAATTTCAGTGAATTTCACTAGTATTTAACGAATTTATTTTATACAGACGCATGTTCATTAACAACATCCTAATGTCTATGCTTCTCAACTGTTTTTTTATTGTTTAGCATTACGTTTCCAGATTACAACATTAAATGAATCCTTGAATATTGGAGGTTTTACACATCGTCGTATAGTACGAACTGATTTATCTAAATTAAATCTTACTACACGTGAAACATTTATATACCAATGGTTAGACACTGAAATGAATCCAATTCTCGCTTCGATGGGACCAGATTTACGCGTCAGGCTTCTTAGTCCTTCAGATTTTGGACGATATTCAGTTCGTATCACTGGTTTAAATTCTGGCTATCAAAGAGTTTTGAGCACTTACATAACTATGGATGGTAAGAATTGAAAAAAAATTTTAAACTTATGAATTTCTATAAGACGTTTTCAAGTACCTAACTGTCACTAAGGCTAGTCTAAGTTGATTTATCGGGAATAGTTAAATAATTCACATATGCTTTTATTGTATAAAAAACTATCTCCTACAATTTTAGAAAGCTATATTTTACTTAAAAAATATTTAATTATACGTTCATCCATTTATTATGTTTCCATTAATGATAAATTCAATGCTGTCTTCTTCAAAACTACAACAGACGTGACTAATGTAGTTCAACCCTGACGGGTGTAGGCAGTAACTACCAAAGACAAATGGGTGAGGTCGCGCAAAATGCCTAGATCAATCAGAGTTAGACATTAACACCGTTGGATGCCGGCCCAGTGGTCCGATGGTTAGGCGTTCGCGCACAATACCGAGGATCCCAGGTTCGAATCCTGTGAGGCGCAGGAGTCGTGGATGCACACTGCTGAGTCCCATACCAGGACGAAACGGCCGTCCAGTGCTTCCAGGTTTCTGATGGTGGTCTAACAATGATTGATTGATGATTTCAAATGTGTAAAAAACACAAACCTCCAAAGCTCTAACTAAAAAAAAGTTACTAAAGTGTAAGTAGCCTTTTTTGTTGAGGAACTTAATATGTTCTGTCTAAGAATGACATTATTATAAATTAAAATCTAAAAAAAAACTTTATTCAAGAATTAAGTTTCAATAATAAATAATGTTTAACTTATTTACTGACTAATTATGTCTGCTTCCCTCTCATGGAACGTAAGCCAAATGTTGGTTCACAGATTTAATTAATAATATAGTTCAATGCATTTAATGAGTGTTATTTTTAATGAAATACAGTCAAGCTAGATTCCACAGACTAGATAACAAGATTCGAATTTGAATTGTGTCTCATTAAATAATAAGTTTTCAATCCTTTGGCAAGTAGTTTGTAAATTATTTGTTAATAAACATAGTCTTAATTCTAGCTACTGAATTCATACATTCAGAGATAACTAAAGGTAGTTTTTTCAATTTTTTTTATTAAAAGCATTATATTTCATTCTTTAAGAGTGAATAATTCAATGTTTTTCGGAGATACAAGTTTTTAATATATCGTGTGTATTCACGATGCAAATAGATCACAACATAGTGAATTGACTGTAGTTCTAAATGTAGTAAAATGAGAAAACAAGATCCCTAAATTGTTTGAATATCAATAATAAGACCATTAAACTTTGTTACAGGTCGGAATGGTGAAGTAGAACCAACTTATTCTGTTGTAATTCGAGAAATTTCTGGTCCGCTTTATTTGAACGCTCGATTAGAACTGGAGTGTTCTCCTAGACCACCAAATTCAGCTGCTAGAATTAATTGGCTTGGGCCAGATGGAACGGTGGTTTCCGACTCTAGTAATATAGTATTTGAACGATTTCAACCTCATCATCAAGGTAGATACACATGCCAAATCTTACTACCAAATCAAATTATTTTACGTCAAGTATGTTTATTAAAATTTACTTTGCGAAATATTGCATAATAATGACTGTTTTGACAATTCTAATTAACCAACTATCAGAAATGCAAAGTTATACTCAGAACAATAGGTGACTTTTATTTCTTTTCTAAAAATCTAATAGCTAAGCTGATGGTAAATTTAACGGACTCCAAACTAGTTTTATCTTGAAATTATTTTTCAGACTTTGTAGCTTCAATGAGAAGTACTAATATTTACAACTATTTCACTACCGTGTCGCCGGGAGCAGAGTTATGAATTGTCATAAGTTATCGCCAGTTGGACAAAGTATGAAAGTATAAAAAGACGACAATAAGTATATAAACCACCATTGGATTTATTTTGAAGAGTTTAAAAGGCTCACTCGATTTTTTTAGCTTGAAATCTATTGAAAATCAGAAAGATAGTGGTATATTGCTTGCAAGACTACTTTGATTGAATAATGCTGCAATTACTAACATTTGGTAATGGCGTTACTGCAATTTTAATTTAATGTCTTATCCAATGGTTGTGATTAATTTTTTTCCCTCTTATGTTTTAGAGTGTAGAATTGGTTGTTTCCGGGACATCAACAGAAATTCCAGAACCTGATAGACTTTATACAATACGAATTATTCAATCACCCACATATTTCAGATATAATGATGCTGTACATCTACAATGCGTTGTTTCTCCTACACCTCCATTAGTTTCTTACGAGTGGTTTAAAGATGGGGTACTTATAGGACGACAAGCAGATATTCATATACAAAGATTTAGTCCAGCTGATGTTGGTCGTTATCAGTGTGTTGCTCGACTTGACAGTATGGTTCTTACCTTTAACAGTACAATATCTATTGACGATGGCACGGGTAAGTTGTATTATATTTTTATTCAAAATATCTTGCATTTCTTTTAGTGGATATTAAATATCTATGTATAGCCGTTTAAAAAGATTTTGAACTAGCTAACAATTTCTACTCTTTAATGAACTGTATGTAAAACTTTAAACTGTAAAGAAAAGTAATCTTCCTTAGCATCTAAGCAGGTTAATTATTGCAGTCACTGTGAGCTACTTTTAAAATCTGTGACTGAAACGTCAAGGTCAACGGAAAAGAGGAAGTCCATGGAACACACTCCGCCGAAAAGTGAAGACAAATATGAAACGAATAAACAACCATTGGAAAGAACTAGAAAATGAGGCCAAGGATAGAGTAGGTTGGAGAATTCTGGTCAGCCACCTATGCTGCATTGGGGGTAACAGGCGAAAGTAAATAAGTCAGTAAGTAAAGTGACTGCGACAAAGAGATAAATATTGAATAGGCCATTATAGTATAATATAGTCAGTTCGAAGAAAATTGACTGGTTGACCTTTATTGGGAACGGTATAAGCTCATTAGTTCGTTAGTTATAAAATACTGTTGCATCGAAACTCGCTAAATATTCTTCTCAATGCTATAATCTAAAGTTACATTTTAAAGAGAATAAAAGGTGATAAGTGATGAACAGCAAAATTTGTTAATGAAACAGAAATGGATTATTTTTAGTTTTTTTTATATCATTAGGCTATATTCCAAACATTATTGATTCATTGTTTTTTAACTAAGGTAGGTTTAGATTAACCAAATTATATTTTATTCACTTAAAAATTTCTTTTTGTTCAAAGTATTGGGAAATAGTTGCTTTTTACTTTGATGAACTGTTTAGTTTATTATTCGCTCATATTAGGCTGTTTCCAAAATCAAGAGTTAATTCAGTCAATTTTATATGGGTTTAATATAATATTTTCATAACAAACTCCGTAAATCGATTGTAAAGGGCTTAATGAACAAACCTTCTGTGAAAGTTTGAGAACGCTGCTTAATTCACCATACAAGTAAAATATAGTAATTAAAAGTATGAATCTCCATCTAATTCAATGGAACACCGAAGAAATGAGACAAGCGGTGACATACTTTATAGTTTGTTAACCGAACTGATGTAGCTTTTCAAAAAATACAGTTTTCAACAACCATTGAATATTTGTAATTAGCCGATTCTGTTTCAATGAAACCTATATTCACTTTATAGGCCACCTCAACAAAACAGATGGCGTTTATCACATTTTTAATGATAACTGGCCATTTCTTGTTAAATGACCACTTCAAATAACGAAACATTTATTTATTTAGTTAAAGAATCCTTATCGGTTATTTCATTTCCGAAACTATTGGATAAATGTGTAGAAATTAGGGGTCAATAAATTATAAGTGAATAACATTTAGAATTTAGTTATTCTTTGTGTGTTAATTTTCACTACACAATTTTAAATTAACACATGACGACTATAAAAACGATGAGATTTATGGAACATGAAAAATGTATAATCGATAGTGTGAATAATGTTAACTGGCATTGTCATCCAGTTGGAAATGAATACAATTTCAGAATGACCATCAAAAATGCCGGTTTAGAAGCAAATTTTCTTTTTTTGTAACAGTGATAAAACTAAGTAACATTTTCAAAATGTTAAACTGAAAAAAAAGTGACAGACAAAATTATTAGGGAAATTGTTTTTGTGAAAAATCACTACTCCTTTTAAGTTTAAAGTCACCAAACTTATCTACCATGATTATTAACACTTTTAAAGACTGAAAATTATAATCTTAATTGAAGTCACATGGGATTATGCACAATATTTGTAGCTTAGAATGTCCTCTATGTCCTTTGACATTCATGGAATTAACGAACGGTATACACTCCAATGAGACACATTTTTATGGTCTTTGTAAGCAAATCATAACTCAGTATTATATTATTTTCGACTCAGCAAGTAACGAGTCGCAGTGTATAGCAGATCTAAATGAGCATTTCTATAATGGTTATGTTACGCCTGCACGTAAACACGTCATTTTGATATACTTGAACTATTACGAGTTTACCTTAGTCGGAATACGGGAGCGAGGATCGAGGATCCGGCGACACGACATGCTACTCAATCCGATTATCCCAACCCTCCATTGAATAAAAGAAGAAGGCTTGATATGAAGTGGAACCTGTATTCTACAAGCATCCAGAAAGTACGAGGTCCGAGTCCAGGAGAGAATCAGCATCCCGGACTAGGGATCCAGGACCGGGTCCTGGTCGTAGAATGTTACAGATAATGCGTATTTATACATTTCGGTTGAATAAGAAACATCATCGAAGTCTGTGACATTGACAGTTAAGACGACCAATAAGAGACAACATTTGAAGTGACATTGAAATCTAGGATGACCAATAAGAAACAACATTGGAGTACGTGACATTGATATCTGGGATGATCATAAAATTGTCCAATAGAATTTAACCGTTAGGAATTGACCTATAATTCTCTAAGGATATTGGATGAATATTGTAACAGGCTAGTACCCTTCTTTCAAACACAAATTCCGGAAGACATTCATTTGTTTTGTTAATTCTACAGCTTATTTGTTCAGTATTACTTATATTTTCAGTCAATGTATTATTGGTTTCTTAAATCTAAAGATATCTACTCGACTTAATCTTTTCATAAATTATAATATATTCTAATTCTTTCTAAGATCACTACAATCATTGAGAGCATAAGTAATGTGCAAATCCCATGATACTGAAAGTTTCTTTTATTATAATTACGATTTGTAGCTCATTAAAGAAGGTTAATCTGACGCTTCAGAATCGCTTTAAATTTTATGCAATAATTGTTAGACTTTAATTAGTGTCCCGTAAGTGGGTCATTCATACATATCAGAACCAACGGATTTATAAGTATGCGAACGACCTAACCAATATCAAGTCAACCTAAAAAAAAGGTGATCATTCTAGAAGACAGTATATAAAACCAATTTTTACGCAGAAAATATAAATGAATTAATTGTATGTTCCGCAAAGAAAATTAGTTTAAATTAAACTAATACAATTTTTTGTAAATGAACACCGAAAACGCCGATAAATGTCACTCTTTTCAATCGTAAACAATTCATCGGAGCATCAGAAAAACTGACTTTACCGAGATAGTATAATGCGATTTATATGCAATTAAAATGTCCATACAACTTTATAGTCTTAAATTTACCGATTTTGCAGTACCCTACAAAAGTCGACCAGGAAAACCATATGACAGGGAAATAAATATGATTATCCTGTTATAAGATTTTTTTTAAAAATTGTTTACTTTCATAGTAATATGGACAGTTACATAGCATAAATGTAACAAAGGAATAATTTAAAATTTCAATGCAAAGTGAAAATCTCTGAAAAAATGGTTCAATGCAATACACTAATTAAGTAGTCGGAATTCTTATGACCAGTAAATGGAATCAAAATGAATTTGATAAATTAACCTGTAAAAGTTCACTGTTTAGAATAACTGCATCGTAATGACTATTCTTTATTTCGTAACACAAGTATTATACCTTCTCCTAGAAATAATAAAAAAAATGAACATTCTATAAAGTCCGTCAACAAATTTTGGCAGTCAGTTACAAGTCCTACTGAATTTATGAAATGTTTTGCATAAAGTATGATATGGTTATTTTTTAAATCCCAACTTACATTTCACACAAGACTGGGAAAAAATTGAAGGAAGAATATTTGACTTGTATCATCATTGTTCTAAATTAGCATGAAAACGCTGTTTGATTTTTAAAGAAATCTCTTTTTGATGTAAAACAGTTGACGTTACTTTAACGTTACTTACAATTTCTGACACATTTTAATTACGAATAAACTAACTTGCAGATCTATTTTTATTCATAATCGATGATATAGACAAAAAGAAATCAACAGTGAAGTATGATATCAGGGTAAGTGTTGGGGACGTAAGATCTTAATTTAAATTTTTTAGTGTTTCCGCGCATAGACTACTCATTTGACCTTGAGATTAAATTCTCCTCTCGGAACATCTTGGAAGGTCATTGTTTGATGTGTTGTTTTTGTACACTGTTTTTGTCGCTCTCCCTAGGACGTTTCTATCTTGTATATATAAACTCGATTTTTTTGCTTGTCAACCTCGATTTTCCGGGCGTTTATCGAGACTTCTTACTTTAGTTAGCAGGGCCGTAGACAATCGAATGAGAATAGCCTATAATGTCACTTTATCATTGCTTTGCTCTCGTTTACCGAGTAAGGTGAACTTGTAATAATTCAAGTAGATCAGTTGACGAGCTTATCAACTGGCGACCTACGCTAGTTTTGACTACCTTCATTCTGGATATTGTGCATTATATTCCTTTTTTTTAAAAAAACCGTTTATTGAACCTTTTTATCAGTATATTTTTGTGTCTATCATAACTGAGCTATTTAAGAAAAAAAAATTGAATAACATAAATTTCTACTCCGTAAAACTACTAACTACGTCTTTAACTAGATTAATTTTTTCTTTGATCATAAAATCTATTTTCAATTAGGTGTGGATTTAATTATGCGACCTAATATAATCTATATCCCAGCATTCCATCCATTTGAAATAGAATGTTTGTCTACACGTACCGGTTTATCACCTATTGCCATATTTGGCAATGGTGCACCTATTGAATCGGATAATCGATTTACAGTTTCAAAACCGGATGAACAACGAGTGATTATAAAAGCTACAGATGGATTATCAAGTGTCTATAATGGTTTACGTATTCGGTAAGTGAAATACAAATGTGATAAAAACGGTTGAATTTTTCATTACAAAATAAATTAAAATCTTAATGAGATTTTAATAAGTGTTTAACTAATTTAGTTTAACCTAATAAAAATCATTATATTATAAAACACTGATGACGTAATTTAAAACTGATCGGTTAAAACAAAAAGGAATATTATTCGAGACAATAAATATCAACCGTAATAGTGTAGTGAAAGAGAACACAGGTGAGGGCAACCGAATTGTATTTAAAGAAAATTACAGAGTTACTCAGTAAAATAGGAAAACCATATCGTAACCGTTAATTTGCAAGTCTTCAATCCATCATCAATCCATTGTCTGACATTTCACTATTCATGCGTTTCATACAAATTCCATTGTGTTCCCACTCTTCCTTTCTTGATCTTCCCCCATCTTCTGCTGCCAGACATTACGTTTAAACTCGCATCATATACTACTTATAAGTAGCGCGCACCACAACAGGATTACTGACAATTTCTTAATTTGGACATAGTTGTAATTACGCTTCGACGTCACTTGAAACAATGCTAACAGCGAATTGTAATGGTAATAGTTTATGTTGCCATTTCAAACTCTTCAAAACTGGGTAATTCTCAAAGTTTCGAATTAATAAATATATCACATGATTAAGAAACAAATTGTTAGTAAAGATTACAAAGAAATTAGTGCAATTATTTGAACTGAGCAAGTGAAACGATCACACCAGAGTAATTTTGCAGAAATATGCATTTTTCAATATGGAACAAATTGATCAACTTTCAGTCAACCAACACAACGATATTTTAAAAGTGTGTGATTACTTTTGAAGTAATCATTGGTGAAGTCATTAGTTTACCTTGAAAATTAGGAGAACTTGTTGGAAATTTATCCGTAAGGATGATCCCTTGTTTAAACTTATTTTTAACTTAATAATTAGTTAAGAAATTGTTGTGTTGTGTGAATAACTCTTGAAGTTGAATGTTATTCAGTTTTTAAAATGGAGTGGGATTATTGCTGAACAAGCGATTACAAAAGATATGAAGTAAATTCGGGAGTTTATAAATACTACATGCAAATACATTTTTCAACTTTTAAAGAAATGTTTGAATAAGTTATTAGCGATAGAAATCTAACGATTAATTCGGTTGAAATTACGGTTGGCTCGAATACTGTTCAGAAGAACAGTGAAAACACGTTAACCAAACTATCTAGAAAATGAAAATCCACCTTATTTAAATGGTCCTTAGTGCAGGTCGAATTCTATCGATAAGGTTACAGTATGGACACTATTCTCAGTGAATGAACATCATGCACACAATTTTATGGTATTACAAGGTTCAAGGCAATCCTCAGAATAATATGGCCTTGGTTTCTGACTAGTTGGGACTCATCAATCAAAGTTACTGTCACTGTTTGGGAAACTGACATTACCAACTAAAATGAAAAAAAATTTCATAAACAATATGTTTTAAGAATGCTAATACTTTAATACTACTTATTAGTAGTTAAACGTTTCCCTAAAAAATTGTAACAATACACAGTTGCTTAGTCTTGAAAATGAATAAGTCAATTTTCAAACCGAATTTCTTTTTACTTCAAACTTTAGATAACATCAGTTTCTACCTCATTTGTATTGCATACGCGTCGCTAAAACATTCTCAGGTAGTATAATTTGCTGAGATGTTGTAGGCGTGATTATTCCCGTACATCCAGATTTCAAAATTTTAAGCTTGCACATGTGCGCGAAGTCTGATATCAAACAGTCAACATGCTGAATATCTAGCTTGTCATGTTACTATATGAATCATAGCAAAGTAAGTTTCATGTTCAATACTCAGAAGTGTGGTAGTTAACAATTTTCTTATTACTTAAACATAAATTCAATTGACCACATGATGAACGTATAGAACCAAATGATTGACAGTGTGATTTATGATATGGGACCAAATAGAATTGAGGCGTTTCGTACTTTACTATCAAAAAATTTGATCTTAAAATATTTGAATAAACATGGAATTCTAATAATTATGCTAACTTTATATTTCAAACAGCAATAGTCGAAGACAACATAATATATCTATGCTTTTCTTTCGTAAATAGATATGTGTTACTTATCTGAATAATTTTTAGTTGTATGCTGCCAGGACTTAATTTCAAAGAAGTTACATTATACATAATGGATATATGCAGTGCCAGTGAATCACAGTGTAGAACTCGACAATGTATTCAAACTTCACAAATATGCGATGGAAAAGCTGATTGTCTTGATAAATCCGATGAGAGTAGCAGTTTTTGCAGTGAGTATTTATTTTTCTCTAAACATCTTTATGATAGCTTTGTTTGAGTTTTTGTTTTGATAGACTAATTAATGTTTAATTATAATTGAATTAGTTTCATTCTATATATATATATATATATATATATATATATATATATATATATATATATATATGTTTTTGTTAATAGATCACTTAACAATAACTGATCACTTTGTCAGATAGAAATTTTGGTCATGACATCGTTCATTGTGATGACCAGGTTGGATAAAACTGATATAGACTTAATACATTCAGTCTTTCGTTGAAAAACTCAATATTTAATGCCATAAATGTTCATGCCTTTCATATTTCATAATCTTTTAATGAAAATATTTAGATTTGTTCTGCATTCAAAAATATGAAATTTGAGCAGTTACGAGTAAGAACTGTTTGATGCTCTTTGTCATTATCATAATGACTAGTTTATTATATCTGAAAGTGTTTTATATGAGAAATGATAACCTAAACATATCAAGAGTAATATGTCATTATTAAGAATAACTGAATGATTTTAGTCTACGAATGGTGCTTCCAACAATAAATTACTGGGATTAAATAACTAAGACTGTTGATACACATTTGAAATCATCATTCAATCATTGTTAGACCACCATCAGAAACCTGTAGGCACTGGACGGCCATTTCGTCCTGGTATGGGAATCATCAGGAGTGCGCATCTACAACCCCTGCATCTCGCAGGATTCGAACCCGGGACCTTCGGTATTGCGCGCGAACGCCTAACCATAGGACCACTAGGTAGTGGACGGTGTTGATGTCTAACTCTGATTGATCTAGCGATTTTGCGCGACCTCACCTATTTGTCTTTGGTAGTTACTGACTAAACCCGACAGGGTTGGCCTCCAATGGTCACGTCTTCGCACTAGAACTCCGAGAATTTCCTGACATAGCTATTCACTAGTGAGCACTGTTGTATTTGTGAATAATATAGATGACATTTGAGTATTGTAAGTTGTGAAATTTATTTCAATAACATTTAATTGAGTATTGATCTGAGTGTTGATATATCATTGACAAATTTTCTGTTTTTACAGGGAATGTATAAAACACATAAATATGCGATCAATAAGATAAATAACGTTGATTCACAATATTCACTTTGTTTGTTGAATGTAGATCTTTCAAAATAATTCACAGTAAAGTGATGTGTATTGAATAATGAGTTGGAATTTTATTTTAAATTGTACAGTTTATGTATATTTTTCTTACACTATAGTTTTAATTCATACTTGACTTTTTAGATGCTAGACTAACTGTGATTCCAACACGTATTGTAGTCAGACCGTCAGAACCTTTTATACTTAAATGTCAAACTATGGTACCAGAGACTAGGATGCCACATGCACGTTTCGTATACAGTGGTAAAGATGTTGAGTCCGATCCTCGATTTACTGTTGAAAGATCGTCTCCAGGTGTTCTATTAATTAAAGCACCACATGGACTTTCAGAAGAAGCTAATGATACAAGAATTGAGTAAGTTGACCAAAACTTATTTCATAAACGTTCTTGTATTGTTGGAAAAATGGTTTTTCTAATACTGTATTTATTTTGCAGTGCTACCACATATATTCCAGTTCGATTAATTTATTTAACCAGGCCATTGGTGTAGCAACAACTTATCTTATTATTGTCTGGTTTGTATGAGCTCACATCACGTGTTCCACTTGCCACTTGACCTTGTCAACCATTCGTCGCTTTTATTGATGTGTGTGCGTACCTATCTTGTTGATCACATGTCTGTCTTATTTTTGTCTGACTACATACTCTTAGTCATGCTCTATTTCTTTGAGTTGGCTCATTAGCCTTCTCCACATTGCTTCTTGGCTTCGCTTTGTGGTATGTCCCAAATAAACGTGTTCATCACTACGACTTCATATTCTGATATATAACCGTCAGACGCTACTTTGTAACGATTGTGTAGACGAGCTAATTACCGAGCTCAAGAACACGCAGTAAATTTACACACTACAAGTTGACTGACTGTTATAGTTTATATCAATCATTCTTTTACTTTCCAGATGTTATTTTCCAGATGAAAGTCCTAGAACTGCAATTATCAATGTCGTTGCAGATCGATGTGGATTAGGTTACTTCATGTGTTATGATGGAAATTGTATACCACAATCTCAGCGATGTGATGGACAGACTCAGTGCCCGGATGGATCGGATGAAATTAATTGTGGTGAGTCTGATGTACTTTTATAGTTACTTTTCAGAGATTTTTATTCGTATCTAAGTATATTTTGAAGTTTTTATAACTTAAACATCGACTTGTACAAAATAGGTCGAATTTAATAATAGATAAGATAAATTTTTTGATGTACCCATAGAAAATAAAGAGGAAAAACAAATTTATATTTGAAGCGAGGAAAGAAATGATCAAATCCAAATCGTAACTACATATCTTTGCAGTCATCTGACTACTCGACTATACCTAGTCGTTACTAGTTTATTCAAAAAAGAACAACTCGTACAAACAAAACAATGTAACTTTTTAAAGTGAAAAATACTGTTGGTAATGAAATACATATTTTATCAAAGAAACATTAAAATGAATGATTCAAAACATTTAAAGATGTGAAAACATTACAAAACTAATTGAATTAAAGTTATATCCACTAAACAGGAAATAAGTACAAATATTAACCTACATAAAAGACTCACTAAGTCTTAGGTTGTCATTGTCGGCTTAGTAGTCTTTAAGTAACCGGAAAGAATAACATTTTCATTTGATTTACGAATAGTGTATGAAGTTAGCACTGATTTTGAAAACTTAACGAGTAAATCTTCAATTACTTTGATTTCAGTTTGCCAACCACCTCGTTTTCTTTGTTCTACTGGTGAGTGTATAACTCAAGAAATGCGATGTGATGGTATAAGACATTGTCGAGATGGTTCAGATGAAATTGATTGTCGTAAGTTGAAGAATTTGTTTTATTCATAAAAGTATTTATTTAAAGAAAAAATGATGGTATTTTGTGCATGTAAACTAAGTATATAATAAAATGTAACAAGATATATTTCGGTATCAACGAATTGAACATTGAATCATCATAGAATACCTAAGATATTTTTGATAAAAACTTACCTAAAAATAAAAAAACATGGTTTGTACTGTTGTAGTGTACGAGAACACAGGCGAGACAACCGGAATGAGCTTAACGAAAATTACAGAGTTACTCAGTAAAATAAAAAAACCATATCGTAAATCGTTAATTTGCAAAATATCAGTTCATCATATCGAACTGGACTGTTCCTGTTGCCAAACATCAATCCATTGTCACTCTTCATGCGTTTCATACAAATTCCATTGTGTTCTAACTCTTCCTTTCTTCATCTTCCCCCATCTGCTGCTGCCAGACATTACGTTGGCACTCACGTCATATACTACTTATAAGTAGCTCGCACCACACTGTTAGTGAAAAATTCATAGAATCAAGTATAAATAATGGTAATTATATTTTTTTTTCTCAGTATTATTTTCGCAACTCATGTTGTCCTCATCCCGTACAGTAGTCACTAATGATCTCTAACTTAAAAATCTTGACTGATTTTGGAAAGATCTGCCTGTCACTTTAAGTGAATAATTGTCAAACAAAAAATAACCTATAGTAAAATTGGATGAATTCTCTTGTTTACTTTTAAATAGACATCAATTAAAAGAAAGTCTAATTTCAAATTATTTGAAATGTTAGTCAATTTTCAAGTGAAATTGTAAGTATGCTGAATTCTTTACACTCTCGAAATAGTAAGAATGGTGTTAAAATTAATTAGAGCATTATTGTACATTGGTGAATTATAGATAGCGTTGATTCGGTTTTACGAGGAAAGTTTTAAGCATCAAACAATAGAATGGATTCCAACTAAGTGTGACAAACGAATGACTACATTTATTGGGCAAAATTATCTCTTTCCGCTAAAGAAAAAAAATTTCAGTACAATGAAGTCATCAAGAAAAATAAACAACGCAGGTAGTCTTATCAGACAAAATAGTTTAATGAAGATGAATTGAGGAATTAAAAATAATA